GACTCTCTGTAAACCGCTTAGAGAGGCCTGAAAGGCCTATGAAGCGGTATATAAGTCTACTGCTATTGCTATGTCTGGAGGGGAGTTGGTAAATGGCTCCAAGCAGCCGTCTAAGAGGGATTTGGCTCAAGTACAGCTGCGTCAAGACAGCCCTAAGGCTTCAGGTGGTGAAAATATGGAGCTGCTGCCAGTCAGTGATGAGGAAGAGGAACTGCCTTCTGCATCTCATCCAAAAACACGCAGGGCAGAGAAGGTCAGCCAGATTACTCGCAAGGAGAAAGCCTTGCCCTTCTGGATGGGCTGCACTGTTAACACAACAGACAGATGGAAGTGATGCTAGGAACAATGTGTTCATTTCTTAGCTGTGCATTTTCTGCTTGTCGTGATTCTTGCCTCACTCTGGATTGACTCCTTGACTTGGATTGTGCCTTGTGAACCCTCTTGTATTATGGATTTAATTTTGTCTGGTGGGTTTATTTTGATTAGGAATCTTTCAAATGCCTTGTGGACTCAATGGCCATTTGTCTGTGGATTAGCATTGGTCTGCTTGTGGCTGGGCTTAACTGGTACAGTTCTGGGTTTTTGGTGAAGGCAGTTGTGGGGGAAATATTCATAAACGCATTAAACCAGTGAGAGCAGGACAGCACACTTTGAAATTAACAGAGTCCCCAGCTGTCTTAGGTTGGCAAGAGAGCTTAAATTTCAGAGAGCAAGTGGATAAGAAACATAGTGTGTATAGTAACAAATTAGCCATTTACTAGAAGAGAAATTAGCAAGGATAACCCTCTTTGACTTCCAGTCTAACCAAGGACATTCTATCCATCATTATCTCATCTTAGCTTCGTCTTTTTCAGACAGGCCCACTAAGCAAATAATGCTCATGGAAATAAAGATGATACTGGTGCTCTGGCAATTTATTTGAAGCAAATTGTTTATTTATATCTAGATGTAAGTGAGAAGAATTCACAGACTTCAAGCTGGAGTCTTTTTAGGATTAAAGACACTAGCACAATTTCACCATACCTTCAGGAAATGAGTAGGAACACAGTGTCAGAAATAACAAAACTATAGTAAGTGCAGTCAAGTCAATTGAATTGTTACATTTAATAGGACTTTTAGCAATTGTTAGGTATTTCTAAAACTAGCAAGTCATGCTCATTACCTTGAAGTTCTGCGACAAGGAGCTCGGGGACTGGGAGATTTGCGTCGGTATTTTCGTCCTGGAGACCTGCTGATGCTTCGTCTGTTTCTCTGCAGGGACCTCTCCCTAGATCTGTCTCTGCATAGAGAATCAG